TATATATATAGCCATCTTGATGCCTGCAGTTGTTTATTGAGCAGAACCTTACTTGTGGAGGAGTTGTTACTTCTGTGTATTCAGATCACCGCGAGGAAAAAATCCAAGCTTCTCTACAGGGGCTGTTGTTTTGGYCCCACAGCAGCTTAAGAGGATAGCCTTCAGCTCTGTTCATAAAAACAAATAAATAAATAAAARGCTAATCAGAGTGGAAAAAAACAATGAAAAGAAAAATAGGAAGCAGGTTACACAACATCTTTGGACTATGTGCAAAAATGCTGATATTTTTCCTCAAAGGCAGAGAGATAAGGGTTTTAATATGAATGCGTTATCGGGCCATGAGAATATGAGATTCTGTGTTGGCTGCGATGCGAATCGGTGACAGAGACACTGGGAGGTTTTCCAACACTTCGGCAGAGTCGAACAATAGAAGGAGAATCGTGGCAGAGCTATTTTCCCTCCAACAGACAGCTTTAGGTGAAACAGTGGCAGAAAGATTAAGCTGTCTGTCTCTGTGCCCGTCTGTAATAACAGTCCTTATGTGCCGGGTGGGGACAGACCGAGGCGTCCGTAATCATGATAAACCTCACATACAGCTCATCCGAGGGGGACATTATCAGGCAAAGTTACCTGGGTAATAGCTACAATTACCACAGCTGGTATTGAGATTATCTTTTAACGCCTCCCTTTTTGTTTTGTTTTTTTTCTGCTTGCAGACCCTACGCAGCCTTTTCTGATAAGAGGCAGCTCCGACGATGGCATCGCAAACGGCCTGGAGACCATTTTCATCACCCGCTTCGCCCCGAACGCTGTCGTGCCTTGTCTGGTCACGGTGCCAGATCTGAACGTCACGCTAGTCTCGGTACGCATCACCCTTCTTATTACAACACCACCTGCTGGTCCAGGTAATGCTCAGTAGAGCCACCTTTTTGAAGCAGCTCCAGCAGCAAGTCTCATCGGGTTGAACTGTGGTACATCTAACTATTTAACCATGGCCAAACTGCTCCGGCTCCTTCGGGTTGGATGGATGTTTATGTCCATCGAATGTTTTTGCTCAGTCATCTGCTGTGAGCTTGGAGTGGAGCTGCTGCTCCTCTGTATCGAAAATAATTAGTGAGGTGGTTCAGATGATTAGAATGCTTCCTGGACACCTCCTTTAGAGGTGTTCTGGGCACGGGCCACTAGTAGGAGGCCTGGGGTTAGAATAAGGACTCGCTGAGGGGATTATATACCCTCTCTGACCTGAACACTTCATTGTCCCCCAGGGCAAGCTGGAAGGTGGGACGTCTGAGTTTCTCTTTTGGATCTGTTGCCGCTGTGACCCAAATATGAAAAGAAGATGGAGATTGCTCAGTCTATAAGTTTGGATGGAGAGTTTTCTGGTCTTGGTGCTGTCTCTTGCTTGGTGGCAGACTGAGGTGTTGAATTCTTGGAAACTATCCCCCCAAACTGAACATGATTAATCTGCAGTGTTTTTTACAGGTCCGGTGCTAAAAATCAAAGGTTTAATAGGGGTGAGGGATAACTTGTATGTGTTCCTTCCTCTCTGACAGTACATGGCACCTCTGGAGACGAATGGGATGACTTGGAACAACAAGCGAGGCTGGTCCATTCCCAGGCGGATCATTGACAGCATGCCTGTGGTCATCGTTGCGTGTGTGGCCTCACTGGAAGGCACAGAGTACCGCTCTGCCAGGTACCTGATCCAGTCGACAGGTAAATATGCACATCAGCTTTAAAGAGTGTGAAATCTACAAGTCCGAACGCTCCCGCGAGCTTCGACACGAACAGATACAAAAACACTTCAGCTCTGGGGTGGGGGACAAAAAAAATAACAAGAGTTCAGGCTCTGCTCTCACTGCCTCGTCACAGTAATTCTGAGTGAACCAATTATCTGGTAATTTTCTGCAGTAATGCACAACATTTCAAGGCTTTTATTGAATAATGCCTTTTTTTTCCAAGTTGGACATGAACCAGTACGGCAGCAGAATTTGAATGAAATAAAGAAAAAAGAAAGGAAAGGGAAGTCGCCGTTAAATTTCAAATATATAACTAGATGAACTTTTTTTTCCCAGAAGTTTTCTTCTCGTTGTGAGAAAACACTGAGGGAGGGTCTTTGCTCTGCGCTGAGAGATCATGGACCTCTCTTTTGTAAAGAAGGAGAGAAAACTCATCTCGACTGCTGCCAGACAAAAATAATAGCCACATCCTTCAGTGGAGGGAATGGGCTCCTCGCTTTAAAGACTAATGGGGTGTTTTAAACAATCAGACGAAGACATCATCATCATCATTTTCACAGATGGCAGAAAAACACGGGTTGAGTTTCAGGCTTCCCTGGCCAGTGCCCAAAGCTTTCGAGGCTTTTCTCACTCCTTATCTTTAACCGAGGCCTCGCTGGGCTCCACTTTTATTTCCTTTATTGATGTAGCTCGACACATGGCTAGAAATGGTGCACAGTTGTGACAGAAACCGTCTTTATACTAGGATGTCTCTGGTCCAAAGGAAAGTCATTTCCTGTGGTCCTGCGAGGAAGGAAAAAGTGCTGACCGTGTCGCTGTGACCTCTCATGTTGTCACCCTCCCCTCCAATCCCCCCC